AAGATTTGAAAATGAAATCGTACGTGAAACTTGTGAAGCACCTCACTCCATAACTGAAATTTAGAAGGTTATAAAGGGCGAAGGTTATCTTGAATAAGTTGGAAAATGATCCTGGAATAATATATATATATATATATATATATGTCATTTTCGTTTATGATCGATTTCATGACGATTCTTCTGTTAAACCTGGAGAATAATTATACATTCTTATTTCTCCAAGTAAAGTCTAATAGTGTTATAAAAATTCGGAGAATTCCAATAAGATAGCTTTAATCAGTTCTAAGATATAGCAGTTCAAAACTTAATCTAACAATTGGACAATTTTGCTGTTACACGATTTGGAAAATTTTGCTGTTACACCCGAATATATATATGTGTGTGTGTGTGTGTGCATCCCTATATATATATATATATATATATATATTTATATATCAGCAAATCTTATTATAATATGCATTCTACCACACGCGCTTCGCTCAGCATTTTCGATATTTATAAATTAGTATGTAAAAAATCAGAAGCCCCCCCCTACTCAAATATTCTGATTTTTTTTTTTATCCTGAGAAGTGTATCGGGCGAGTATTTTTCAGCACCCTTCTCGTATGTCTCCTCTCATACTGACACAATACTAAGCATAGGGGCTTAGCATATAAAGAGCAAACTATATTAAATATCAAATATACACAGAAAGATCGCCAGCGTTGCAAAATATAAAAACGTTCGTATATGGTCCATTCTTACCTCCGGATGATTGAAAAATAGCATGAATCTGAGAGTGGCGGAGAGCTACGTGTCAGAAAAAGTTCATTGTTATTATTATTATTATTATTATTATTATTATTATTATTATATTTGAATCATTTTACAACGTTGGCGCTTTCTTGAGTAAATATTATATATATATATATATATATATATATATATATATATATATATATATATATATATATATATATATATATTTTTTGTTGCGTGCGGGTTTTGTTATGTTACTGAGTGCGTTTCGCGTCGACCTTTATGATTACAGTGTTGAGTGGGGTTGGGTGGGTAAGAAAGCAACAACAACAATACTTACAAACATATAGACGACAGAAACAGAAAAGAAATTCATTTTTTGTAAATATTAGACACGCACGCGTGTGCACACACGCGCATGTACGTGCGTGTGTGTATTTATACATTTAGTAGCGCATACGAAGAGACATGCGCAGTGATATGCGCAGAGACATGCGCGCACACACACACACACACACGCACACACACACATTTAAAAACCAGTGAGAAAATGATTAAAAAAAAAAAATTGAAAAAATGATACGCACGTAAAATGCTCGAAAATAGCTCAAGTGATTTTCTATGACAGCTGACCGACTTCCAAAAAGAGATGTACTGATCGTTTTAATAGCCTTTTATCTCGTTTGTACCAAGCGCGCGGGGTAAGGAGAAAAAAAATGTAGGGGAGAAGGTCGAGATGGAAAGAGAAAGGGTGGGGCAAGAAATCCCTGATAAATTTCTGAAAGGCGAGGAGATCGAAAGAAAGTAGTTAGCAATATAAATTTGATTAAAAAAAAAAAAAAAAAAAAAAAATTAAAGAAAACGAAAGGCTGAAAAAATGAAGGAAGGAAAAAAGATAACAAAAAAGATAGGGTCAGAAGTTAAAAACTGACGGAAATAAAGTTAAAGTGAGAGAGAGAGAAAGAGAGAAAGAGAGAGAGAGAGAGAGAGAGGGGAATATAGAAACTTTAAAGAAGTGAGGATAAACAGGTAAAGAGAGAAGGAGGGTGAGAGAGAAACATTAAAATATGAAGATAAAGCAGTAGAGAGAGAGAGAGAGAGAGAAAGAGAGAGAGAGAGAGAGAGACAGGGGGAGACTTTAAAATGAAAGATAGACAGAGAGAGAAAGAAATGAGAAAGAAAGTGAAAGAGTAGAAAAGTAGAAAAATAAAAATGAAAATCAGAAAGTGGCGAGTAAATAATCAGATGGCAATAGGAAGAGGAGAAAAGAAAGAAATGAAGAAAGCAAACAAGAAAGAAAGGAAGAAAGACTGAATGAGGACTGTAAGAAAAAAGAAGACCGAAAGAAAGACAGAAATATAGAAAAAGAAGAAAGTAAAAAAGAAAGAAATGACGAAGCAAAGAAAGAAAAAAAAAAAACTGTAAGAAAGAAAGATGAAAGAAAGATGAAAGAAAGAAAAAAAAAAAAAGAAAAAAAAAAAAAAAAGAAAGAAAAGAAGAAAGAGAGGAAGAAAGGGAGGAAGAAAGAAAGAGGAGAAGAAAGGAAGGAAGGAAGGAAGGAAGGAAGGAAGGGAGGAAGGAAGAAAGAACGAAAGAAGAAACAAAGAAAGATCAAAGAAAGAAAAATGTAAGAAAGAAAAAATAAGAAAGAAAGAAAAGAAGAAAGAGAGGAAGAAAGGGAGGAAGAAAGAAAGAGGAGAAGAAAGGAAGGAAGGAAGGAAGGGAGGAAGGAAGGAAGAACGAAAGAAGAAACAAAGAAAGATCAAAGAAAGAAAAATGTAAGAAAGAAAAAATAAGAAGGAAAGAAAAGAAGAAAGAAAGAAAGAAAGGAGGAAGAAAGAAAAAGGAGAAGAAAGGAAAAAAAGGAAGGAAAAGGAAGGAAGGAAGAACGAAAGAAGAAGAAAAAAGAAAGATCAAAGAAAGAAAAATGTAAGAAAGAAAAAATAAGAAGGAAAGAAAAGAAGAAAGAAAGAAAGAAAGAGAGGAAGAAATGAAGCAAGGAAAAAAGAAAGAAAGAAAGGATGGAAGAAAGGACGCAAAAAACAACGAAAGAAAGAAAGAATGAAAGAAGTATCGTTACGGAATAAACAGACGATAAAGCAGAAATTGATGTTGAAGGAGAGATTGCGAGAGAGTAAGGAGAAAAAGTGGGATTAAGAAAGTAAGAGAGGGAGACACAAAGGGAAGGAGGGAATCGGAGAAGAAAAACGAAGCTGAGATATTGTGATTAGATTATGTAAATCTTTCATTTTTTAAGTTCAGCAATCAAAAGTGTTTTACATATTAATGCTCTCATCAGTCTTTCTATTTTTATATATCTATTGGAAGATGCCTTTTATGTCCGTCTTATTTTCTTTTTTTTGCTTTTTCTAGCGCATCAACAAAAAAACACACAAACAAACACACACACACACACACACACACACACACACACACACACACACACACACACAAAATATATATATATATATTAAAATTCGATAGCATAAATATGTTATAAAATCGATATATATATATTTTTTCCAACTCAACTGTCGACTCATCCGGTGTACCCACAACCGATTTCCTCCCTTGAACCGAGGCTCTATTGAGCGAGTTGCACATAACTCCATCGTTGGTATTGAACATCATCTCAAAATTTGACTCCCATAATGCTAGCGGTGGCGACGGGATATTAGCCATTGTCCTGAAGAAATGTGCGCCTGAACTGGGCTCCTGTCCTCCAAATCATATAACTACTGCTTCAATAAATCTTGCTTACCAGCCTGTTGGAAGTCCTCATCTATTGTACCTGTCTTCAAGAACTCTGGAGACCATTCTGAGCCATCTAACTACCGTCCTATCAGTCTCCTACCACTCTTCGGTAAAGTTTTGAAGCTTTAATCAACGCCGAAGTGGTTAAGCACCTTATATCCCATGATCTGCTCTCTACGCAATATGGTTTTCGCTTTGCCCGTTCTACAACTGTTGTGCTTACGGCCATGACAGAAATTGTTTACCAAGCACTCCACAATAACCGAGAAGCTTGTGTCGTAGCTCTAGATATCTCTAAAGCGTTTGATTGGGTCTGGCATGCCAGCCTCCTTCGTAAGATTAAGGAATACGGAATTTCAGGTCGATTATTTGACTTAATATAATAATTCCTGTCAAACTGTGTAATAAAGGGCGCCCTTAACGGATTCTTCTCCAGTTCCTTTCCCACGAAAGCAGGTCCATGTTCCTTATCTTAATTAACGATCTCCCCGATGAGATCAGTTCCCAAGTAGGCATCTATGCTGACGACACTACTATTTATACCTGCCTCAATAGCAAGTCTTGTATCGCTGACAACACTAACTTGACCGTTAGTCTCGAAAAGGACCTCCAATCGGTTGTAAACTGGTGCTGGAATTGGCTGGTTAACATTAATGCCTCTAAAGCAAAACTGCTCTCTATTAGCCACCACAGAGAACCATCCCTGCCACCCATTAGAATGTCTGATGCTCAACTCCATGAGAGCACCTCTTTGCGATTACTTGATCTCACACTGTCCGCTGACCTGAGATGGAACAATTACATTGAATCAATAGCTTCATCCACCGCAAGGAAAATTGGTTCCCTGTGTCGCGCCAGAAAGTTTTTCTCGCCCGAGTCCATCCTTCAAATCTATAAATCAACCATTCGCCCTTGCATGGTATACTGCTGCCATATATGGTCTGGTGCCCCCACTGTTGGCCTTAAAGTCGTTGACAAGATCCAGAGACGAATATGCTATATGGTTGGTCCTGATCTGGCATCTCGCCTGCAGTTACTCTCTCACAGACGTGCTGTCGCCTCCCTCTGTCTTCTCTGCAAATACTTTCACGGTAACTGCTCCGACGATCTACTTTCGCTAGTTCCCAGACTGCATGAATTTACGCGTGCTACTAGGCTGACACCACAGTCCCACCCTTTCACTGTCGAAACGGTTAAATGTGGCCGTCTCTTCGACTCCAATAGCTTTATGTCTCGCACCTCCCGTTTCTGGAATTCCCTTCTTATTACCTGTTTCCCTGATAGCTATAATCTCCAACTATTCAAATGTAATGTCAATCGACATCTCCAGATGCCCTGACCTATTCCTTGTCCGTCTCTTCATCCTTTTCTCCATCACGCCTCTTTACTCTCGCTCCCACTCTGCAACCCCTTGCGTACTAGTGGCATCCAGCCTTGCTTGAGGTGAAATGCTTAATATATATATATATATATATATGTGAAAAGTGTATATAAATATAAATATAAATAAATATATATATATTTCTATATAATAATATAATATAATATATAAATAATTATATGTATATATATTTATTTATATTTATATACAAACAAACACACACACAACACACACACACACACACACACACACACACACACACATATATATATATATATATATATATATATATATATAAACGCATTTGATTGAAGTGAGTTGAGAAAAGAAACAGATTTGGAATATAATCCAAATCTTAGAGACATTCAGTAATAAACAAACACGCATGTGAATCATTATATCAAATTACGAGGATTTTCATTCAGAAATGTTCTTATCCTAGTCTAGTTGTTTTACCAGGGTTAAGGTATCCAGATTTCCAACCTATTTACGAAAGTTTCAATTGAGAGTTATCCTTCTCCCAGTCTAGTTTCCAGAACAATATTAAACTGCTCAGTTAACCCGGCTCTTTAGGAAAGTTTCATTTAAATGTTATCCTATTTCCAGAAGTTTTGTCAGAACACTCTTAAATTGCCCAGTTTGCGCGGCTCTTTAGGAAAGTTTCAATTAAGCGGTATTCTTCTCCCAGTTTATTTGCCAGAAAAATGTTAACTTGCCCAGTTTGCCCGGCTCTTAGAAAAGTTTTAATTAAGAGCTATCCTTCTTCCAGACGAATTGACTGAACGATATTAAAGCGCTCAATTAACCCGGCTCTTTAGGAAAGTTTCATTTAAAAGGTTATTATATTTCCAGAAGTTTTGTCAGAAAAATGATAAAATGTCCAGTTTACCCTGCTCTTTCGGAAAAATTCACTTGTGAGTTCTCCCAGATTAGTTGGCAGAATCATGTTAAAATTCCCAGCTTACCGGCGTCTTTAAGAAAGTTTCTATAAAGAGCTATCCTTCTCTCAGTCTAGTTACCAGAACAATATCAACATATTCAATTCACACGGCGATTTAGAAAATTTCAGTTAAGACTTATCGTTCTTCTAGTTTAATTGCAAGAACAATGTTAAAATGTACAATTTACCCGGCTCTTTAGGAAAGTTTCAATAAGAGTTCTTCTTCTCCCAGAGTAGTTCCCAGAACAATGCTAGTATCCAATTCTCGAGGCTCTTTCCGAAAGATTTATTCTTCGTACACACTAGTTACCAGAACAACGTTAAAGTGCTCAGTTTACTCGACTCTTTAGGAAAGTTTCAATTAGGTTATATAGTTCTCCCAGCCTAGCTGCCTGAACAATATTAAAGTTTCTTATTGCTCCAACTCTTTACGAATGTGTGATATACATACATGATTTGTAAACACGAACGCTGCTTGACACACGTGAGGTTTACTTAACCAAGGAACAACCAACAAAGCAAACTTAAGTCGCAGAAATATATTTTTATCCACTGTATTTCATTCTCTAATGACAGTTAAATTAAAGCAAAACATTCAGGATGCAATAGGTAAATTGTCTATTTTTAATTTTGCGCATGCGCTTCGATTGGTTTTGATTTTGTCGACTGCACAATATAGTAGGCTTCTTCGGGCACCGTCTGTAAGAAAAAGAGCATAATAACGCAATTTACTCCGCCGGAAATTTGGGAACAGAATGCTGTACTGCTTGGCATTCGCGCCGGAAGCTCCAATACAAAGATTTCAGAGTGTTTGGGTGTCAATCTGAGGACAATTCAGAGGATTCGGAAAGAGTTGAATGAATCTAATGGTTATTACGAAGGTATTGCACAAACTTACTCTGATTCTTCTGATAAGAAAAGAATTCCTGAATTTGTTGGTGAGGTGACGCAGACTCGATACGAAGGCCTATATGAAGTGCCTTGATGCGGTTGTGCTGCCCTGGGTCAAGAGCGTGGCTGCTGGGCCATCTTATGTGTGAAAACAGGACCCTGCAGGTGAAACCACTCATGGCTGTTCGACAATTTCCGCGACCACATCACCCCTTGATCTGACCACCTAATTTCCCATTCTGCACCCCCTTGATTATTATGTGTGGGGCGCAGTTGAGCGAGAGACCAATAAAATTCCCTGTAAAACCAAAGATGAACTAAAGGCAAGGATTATGGCAGCATTCACCAACTTAAACCAGGAGACCGTCCAGAAGAGTTGCAGGAGATTCGGAAGCTGTCTGGAGGCCGTGGTTGAAGCCAATGGCGATTTTATTGAATAAATTTACTCTTTAGTATTTCAAGATATTTTTGCGTAATTTTAGTAAATATATCTGTTAAAATGAAATGTCAGTTTTATTTTCATTTTTGCGTAATTTGGATAACAATTTATGCATGTGTGTGTTTGTGTATTTTTGTGTGATTAATTGAATAACACATTAGAAAAAGACATTCGATCACCCATTATTAGTCTATTTTTATCATATAGATTCATATATGTACATATATACAATACACAGACATGCGCACACACTTATATATATATATTTCTTATTATTATATATACATATATATATATATATTAATATCTTAAAAGAAATTTTAATAGATAACATCAAAATAATATGAGCATCTACGCACACACACATATATACGAGGGTCATTCAATGAATAAGGTGAATTTTTCGGCATAAGGACTTCTAATACAGATAGAAGCTTACTTTTTTTAATTTTTTTTTTTGTTTTACTTCTTTTTCACATGGATTTAATTTCTTTTGCAGATTAAAAAAAACTTTGAGGGTTTTGGCGATTAACAAAGATGGCCGACCAAGAAGCATGCTCCAGGATTGAACAGCGGTCAGTTATCAAGTTTTTGGTTGCTGAAGGGTGCAAACCAGTTGAATTTCATAGGAGAATGTCAACTGTGTATGTATGCCACATGTTTTCAAAGGAAGAAAAATGTCTACAAGTGGGTTAAATTGTTTAAAGAAGGACGGAGCAGTGTTGAGGATGAAGACAGGCCTGGGAGGCCTACAGAAGTGAGATCTCCTGAGGTGATCGAATCAGTCAATGACCTCATTCAGTCTGACAGAAGGGTGATAGCGGATGACATTGCAAGGACTTTGAGCTTATCTGTTGGGAGCAGTACACAAAATTGTTCATGATGACCTTGGCTACTCGAAGGTCAGCTGCCGGTGGGTGCCAAAGATGCTTACTGCAGAGCCCAAACAGAGGAGGGTCGAGTTGTCCCAGCAGTGTCTCTCCCGCTATGAGAAGGATGCCCCTTCAGAGTTTCACCTATTTGGTCCCTTGAAAGCGTTCACGAGAGGCACGAAGTTTTAAAAGTGATATGAAGTCTAAAGGGTTGTGAGCGACAGGCTGAGACATCAGTCCAAAGATTTTTACGCTGAGGGAATACGGAAGCTTGTGCACAGATGAAAAAAGTGTGTGACAGTGCTGGAGACTACGTTGAAAAATAATAAACAAAAGTAAAATTCTATCTGTATTAGTTCTATCTATTTATAAATATATTTCATCTTCAAGAAGAATTCGCTTGAAGATGAAATGGTACTAACATTTTTATTTTAATTGCAAAATTAAATTATATATTTTTAGCTTCTATTTTTGAAACATGGTTGGAACTGTGTATCAAAAAAAAAACATATTTTAAATCAATTAATTTATAATATTAATATACAATATATATATATATATATATATATATATATATATATATATATATATATATATATATATATATATATATTAATCGAGATCTTATATACATATATATATATTATCGAGATATTATTTATATATATATATATATATATATATATATATATATATATATATATATATATATATAATAGATATATATATATATATATATATATATATATATATATATAATATATATATATATATATATATATATATATATATATATATATATATATATATATGTATATATACATATATATATATATATTAATCGAGATCTTATATATATATACATATATATTATCGAGATCTTTTTATATATATATATATATATATATATATATATATATATATATATATATATATATTAATCGAGATCTTATATACATATATATATATATTTATATATATATATTAATATACAATATATATATATATATTAATATATATATATATATACATATATATATATATATTAATCGAGATCTGATATACATATATATATATTATCGAGATCTTATTATTATATACACATATATATATATTAATCGAGATCTTATATACATATATATACATATATATATATATATATTAATATATATATATATTAATATACATGTATATATATTCATATACATATATATTCATATATATATCTATATATACATATATATATATTAATCGAAATCTTATATATATATATATATATAAATATATATATATTAAATATATTGTCCTCATCTTTGTCGCCATATTTATCACAACGTTTCGGCCGTTGTACGCTCCGGCCTTCTTTAGGTGGTTGGAATTTCGAACTGAACCCTTTATTTTGCTCATTGGGGTAGACTGTTCTCGTTCCACGTGCCATGTTTGATGGATGTCACTTATCAGTTATCTCCTGTTAATTTCCCTCTGAAAGTTCTCCACCGCCTTGACCGGGTATTGAACTCACATTTTTTGGGTCCTGTCACTGGATCTAACCAACGCCTTTATCCACTGTGCCATGTGTCCGAATAATGTAAATAATGTACATAATACCTCATCTCAGAAATATAGACAGACATATATATATGTATGTATTCTCTTTACCTCTCTTCTGTTTCCACATTTTAAAACTTATTCATCTTTCCCTTCATGGTTTGTGAATGGACTTGGAAGATGAAAGCCAGGGTATGAATATTTGAAGATGAAAGCCAGGGTATGAACATTTGAAGATGAAAGCCAGGGTATGAATATTGATAACTATACTGAAGACCTGAATGATCTTTTTCCACTCAGCTTTGCTCAGTTGAAGGTCTCACACAAAACAGTATTAAACTGCTCTCTTTTCAGCTGAATAACTCATTTTTTTTCTGTGATTCCTACGACAAATGGTGTCAAGATAGTTAAATGTCTTATCTGAAAACCTGGAAAAAAGAAACTCAATTAGTGTTTTTGTAGGATGGATAATTATGCTGTAACACGAATTGGACAATATATAACGATATATATATATTTATATATCAAGTACAATATTGGGGAAAATGTATGATAAAGTGGAAAAAGTCCTTCAGGATTTAAGCGGATTACATTTGTTATGTTGGTACAACTACGCATGCGCACGAACGGGATTTTTAGAATTTTTAAAGAATTTTTTAGAATTCTGTTTTTATATCTAGCCGAATTCATTTAGTGTCTTTTTCTTTCCGTGACTTTGTTAGTAGATATACCACACACTGTTATAATAGAAGATCTGCTTATAATGTAAGAAGAGCCAGGGCGCAAATTTACTGTAAATAACCTTGCGATCAAGGCACTCTCTAGATATATTCGTCGTAGTGAAATGTTTTCTCCTTTGATCAGACTAAGCCAATAGGCTAAAACATAAAGGAGAAATTTATACCGTCGCCTGTAATAATTGTCACAAACATACACAGGAGAAACCTCAAGGAATCTAAATAATAGATTATATGAACAAAAAAAAAAAAAAAGAAGATATTTTGCAAAACAATACGTCAAATGCGTCGGTTGTCCACCGTAATGATATTGACCACATTTTTGACATAAAAATACTACTCTGATCAAAGGAGGAAATAATTTTTTACGATGTAAATGTCTAGAGAGTGCTTTGATCGCAGGGTCATCTACAGTAAATTTTCACCTTGGCTGTTACATTTCACCATTCCAGGCAGGTCTTCTATTACAAATTGTGCGATACCTACTAACAAAAAAAAAAAAAGAAAAAAGAAAAAAGTCTAAATGAATTCAGCTTAATAATAATTTATAATTTTTTTAAGTTCTAAAATCAACAGCCCCCCCCGCTTTGTGCATGCATGTGTATTCGTACCAACATAACAAATTTAGTCCGATGAAGTTTTGAAGGACTAAACGTATCACAAGTATACTTTTTAACTTTACATACATTCCCCCCCACACACACACAAACATATATATATATATATATATATACCCATGCACGAGTGATGCTCTGGGAATGTTCATATTTATTTATTATGAATAATATAACGAAAATGTAGTGGCATCCCGTCGGAGAGCGCATATAGAGACATCCCTTTGGAGAGAGCAATTAGAGGCATCCCGTTGGAGAGCGCATATAGAGACATCCCTTTGGAGAGAGCAAGTAGAGATATCTCGTTGGAGAGAGAATGTAGAGACATCCTGATAGAGAGAGCATGTAGAGTCATCTCGTTGGAGAGCGTATATACAGACATTCCGTTGGGTAGAGCAATTAGAGACATCTCGTTGAAGAGCGCATATAGAGACATCTCTTTGAAGAGAGCAAGTAGAGACAGATCGTTGGAGAGACAATGTTGGGACATCTCGTTGCAAAAAGCATGTAGAGACATCCCGTTGAGGAGAGCAAGTAGAGACAGCTCGTTGGAGAGAGAATGTAGAGACATTCCGTTGGGTAGAGCAATTAGAGGCATCCCGTTGGAGAGCGCATATAGAGACATCCCTTTGGAGAGAGCAAGTAGAGATATCTCGTTGGAGAGAGAATGTAGAGACATCCTGATAGAGAGAGCATGTAGAGTCATCTCGTTGGAGAGCGTATATACAGCATTTCGTTGGGTAGAGCAATTAGAGACATCTCGTTGGAGAGCGCATATAGAGACATCTCTTTGGAGAGAGCAAGTAGAGACAGCTCGTTGGAGAGAGAATGTAGAGACATTCCGTTGGGTAGAGCAATTAGAGGCATCCTGTTGGAGAGCGCATATAGAGACATCCCTTTGGAGAGAGCAAGTAGAGATATCTCGTTGGAGAGAGAATGTAGAGACATCCTGATAGAGAGAGCATGTAGAGTCATCTCGTTGGAGAGCGTATATACAGACATTCCGTTGGGTAGAGCAATTAGAGACATCTCGTTGGAGAGTACATATAGAGACATCCCTTTGGAGAGACAGATCATTGGAGAGAGAATGTAGAGACATTGCGTTGATGAGAGGATGTAAGGACATCCCGCTGGAGAAAGCAAGTAGAGACATTTGTTGGGTAGAGCAATTAGAGACATCTCGTTGGAGAGTACATATAGAGACATCCCTTTGGAGAGACAGATCGTTGGAGAGAGAATGTAGAGACATTGCGTTGATGAGAGGATGTAAGGACATCCCGCTGGAGAAAGCAAGTAGAGACATCCCGTTGGGTAGAGCAATTAGAGACATCTCGTTGGAGAGTACATATAGAGACATCCCTTTGGAGAGACAGATCGTTGGAGAGAGAATGTAGAGACATTGCGTTGATGAGAGGATGTAAGGACATCCCGCTGGAGAAAGCAAGTAGAGACATCCCGTTGGGGAGAACAAGTAGAGACACCTCCTAGGATAGAGAATGTAGGGACATGTCGGCGGATAAGAGCATGTTTTCGACTATAAAACGACACTTTTCGACTTTTTTTTTTGCGTTATGCAACATGGCTGTCACCACTCCGAAAAAGCGTCACCTATCGGCTATGCAAGGATAAATTCTTTGAGTTACGTTGACATTAACTCACTTTGATTATCACTAGGTGCTCCATATTTTCGGAGTTGTACATCTAAGCTATGCAAAAACTCTATAATCAACATCTGCGAACATAATATAACAACAGGCAAATACTTTTGGTACGAATCTCTCTCTCTCTCTCTCTCTATATATATATATATATATATATATAAATATATATATATAGTGTGTTCCATTAAGATGGATTATATATAAGAATGTTTTATTAAGAAGGATCAAAGTCAGCAGTAAATAAATCAGTTTTATAAGTGAAAATTTATTTATTTCTCGATTGGACAATGTTAAGTCATAGCAATTATATGTGAAAAATAATAGCGCACAAATTTTCGTCAAATCTGAAAGAAAAAGACAAAAATCATTAGATGATTAAACATAATTCACATTTAAAATACGTCCAAGTCATTGGAACACACTATATATATATACATACACACACACACACACACACACACATATATATATATATATATATATATATATATATGTGTGTGTGTATATAAACAAACACACACACACACACATATATATATATATATATATATATATATATATATATATATATATATAAATAACTGGGAATTTATTTAGAAATATTAAAACTTCGCCAGTTAATATAGCCTCTGTAGCAAACTCCATTAGGGTTTGTTTTATTTAAATTACACGCACGCCTATCATATCTGCAGATCACGATATGAATAACCTGCTAGCCACAAATTTACATGAATGACAAATGTAGCCTAGTATAACACAGTACCATCTAGCATAAACTTTCTTTAAACTTAACTCAAAAACGGAGGATTTGTAGGCTAATGTTTATATGCACTTTCGTCCTTTTTTTGGCGTGAGGAACCCGCTCCCAAAGTTTGTAAATGTATTTTTGATACAATTGAATATATATATATATAAAGACATTTCTATGTGTGTGTGTGTGTGTGTGTGTGTGTGTGCGCGAGGAATATAAATGTGATGAAAACAAAGAATACACATAGCTTGAATATCGCCTTTATTGTTCTATAACCAGGTTTATCTATTTCTCTATATATACATATATATTTAAAGACATTTTTATGTTTAACATTCTTTTTATAGATACACGTATTTAAGTAAATGCTCTGTTTATAATAAACAGTATTAAATAACATTTACCGGATTGAATGTCCTAGAAATTTTCATAGAAAATATTCGTACTTCGACGGGATTCGAACCTGTATCCTATACGGAACCGTCATATTGCCTGACGTGCCTTACCGCTCGGCCACAAAGGATCGTTCGGTTGGCAAGGTCGAATTTACTGCTTATAAACTACAATTTTCCATGATTCTCTCACGTACATTCATAACTGCTCATGGCGTATCAAATGTAAACAAATGACGTCACACATTATGAAATGGACAAAGTCCGACAATTATTTAAATACCTTTTTATGTTTAACATTCTTTTTATAGATACAAGTATTTAAGTAAATGTTCTGTTTATAATAAACAGTATTAAATAACATTTACCGAATCATCTGCGCTTTGCTGCGTGTCATACATTTTTTGTAAGAAAATAATGATTGATCTTTAAATCATTGTTAAAATTGTGGAGAAAAATAATGCATTTCAATATTACTCAATGATCTTGTCGATGTGACCTCCGTCTTCTGGTTTTCTCTTTCTATATCTTGGATAGGAGTCATTCTCCTCTTCAAATTTGAATTTAATTTAAATCCAAGCGAAAAAATTTAAAGGGGTGGTTGTGCAAAAACAGTTTGTCCTGACCCTTTTGATATGTATTTGATGCAATAATTGATTTAATGAATTGATGATCAGATTTCAACATTGATATGACAATTGAACTGTCGCAACAAATATGTATTGTAAGGCACTACCCACTGATTGAGGATTACTTGCACAACTTGACGTCCATATTGTCTCATTCTGACTTTGCCGATGTGACCTCCATCTTCTTGATTTCTCCTTCTATATTTTGAAGTCATTCCCTTGTTCAAATTTAAATTTAATTTAAATCAAAGTGAAAAATATTTTAAAGAGTGTTTTGATTCCCTTAGACAAAATGAAATATATTTATTCAGGTACCCAATGATTCATTCTCTTGCACAAATTTAACTTTAATTTATATCAAAGGGGAAAAAAATCAGTGGGGTGTGCACCCCCGGACCCTTTTGATCAAAATGAAATATATTTATCCAAGTACCCTGAGTAATATAGATTCAGAATATATATGGTTATGGGGATCTATCTCCAAACCCTAAGCGGAGTTCAATAACAAACAAAACAGACAGATAGAGGCTACAACTTTATATATATATATATATATATATATATATATATATATATATATGTAGATATAGATATATTTATACTTGTTTGCCTACAAACACACACACACGTAAACGCGTGTATGCGTAACGTGCATTGGAAAAGAGGGTAGCGTCCGTATAAAATACAATATCGAACGAGCACTGTGAATTGATTCGTGGTGTATGCCGATAACTGAATCAGCGTTTTCTGTAAACAGACTTATTAACTCGGTGTGCTGATTCAGCAAATATCGATGTGCACGCTCTCACACAACAATGTTCTTACGGTACAGGCATATACGTAAGAACACGCACTGGCATTCGTACTTGCTTTTCCCCGTACAAAATATCTCCAAAATACTTCCGGCTTTATCAATGAAGGAAAAAAAAGTCAATTTAGAATACTATAGGTTACTGGAACATTTATATAAGAAAGAAAGAAAGAAAGAAAGAAAGAAAGAAAGAAAGAAAGAAAGAAAGAGATTTCAATAAAAGGAAAGAAATAACGGAACGGGAATAAATTGTTTCAGACAGAAAAAAAAGCATTGATGAAAAAAAGAAAGGAAGTAAATTGACGAAATAAATAAATTAATTAATTAAGAAAAAAAAAGAGAAAAAAGTTTAAAGAAAAAAAGAATGAAAGAAAGAAAAAAGAGAAAGAGAAAAAGAAAGGCAAAAATTAATTTAGGTAAAAGAAAGAAAGATCGCATGAACGAAGTAACGACAGAAAAATGAAAAGAATATAAAGAAAAGAGTTTATGGAAGAACGAACAGGAAAATAGAAATAAAAAAGAAAAAAGGGAATAAGTAGCAGGAAAAAAGAAAAAAAAAACGACGAATTTGAGAAAGAAGGAAAGAAAGATATAAAGAAAGAAGAGAAAGAAGAAAGAAATAAAAAAGAAAGGAAGAAAAAAGGAGAAAGAAAGAAAGGAAAAGAAAGAAAAGAAAGAAAAGAAAAAAGAAAGGAAGAAAAAAGGAGAAAGAAAGACAGAAAGAAAGAAAGGAAAAGAAAGAAAAGAAAAAAGAAAGAAAGAAAGAATGGGGGGAAGAAAGAAAGAAAGAAAGAAATAAGGGAAGAAAAAAAGAAAGAAACTATAGTTAGAATGAAGAAACATAAGAATGAAAGACAAAAGGAATAAGTAAGAGAAAGAAAATAATATAATGAGGAAAAATAAATAAGGAAATGCTAAATAAAGTAATGAATGACAAACTGAAAAAAGCACGCATTGCCCGAAAGGAGAGAAAAGAAGAAATGAACGAACGACTGACTGAATTAAACAGAAAATAATAATAATAAAAAAAATAATAATTCGGAGAGACTGAATACAGTCTTGATTGGATAAATGCACATACATAAAAGCGATAACAACAGAAACGAGAATGCGAAAGTTTGTTTTTTTATTATTATCTTATCTTTTTTTTTTATCACCAACTTTAAATTCAGGCATTTTAATTATCTTGTGAACTGCACCGAATGCGCCTCGGCTTCGCGGTTCACGCGTGCAAAAAAAAACCCAAAAAAAACAAACAAACAAAAAATAAAAACGAAAAGAAAAAAAAGAAAAGGAAAAAAAAATTGAATTGCTGAGTCATCATCACTTGAATTTACTCGATCGATCTGATGTTTATCGGCAGGGAAAAGAGTACAGAAATAAAAACTGCAATTGAATCTCTGCCAATAATAATTCGATCGAACGGCGTTTCAACAAAGCAACAACAAATGATTCGAAATACTGTTTTTTTTTTTTGTTTTTTTTTTCATCGAAAAGGTGCACTTTCCTCACCTCAAGAGATGTAAACACAAGAACAAAGTTACAAGCAGTTTGATTTGAACTCACTACTTGACTATTCATCACAAATCCAAAGCAGATTGTTTGTTCGGAGCAAAAATAAAGAGTTTCATCATTGTCTATTCTATAGCACTGTTTACATATCTTCGAAAAGTCACGTGTAAAGAAACTGACGGATGTGTAGATGACTGCAGCGTTTCAAATCCGCCGATCGGCAACAAGACGCGTTTTAAAATAATCCTTTTAGCAAAGAGGGATAAAACAAGACTACTCCAAGAGACCAAAAAGACATACCAGGCTGTAGATCAGGGGTCGGCAACCTCCGGCTTCCAGGCCACATCCGCGAAGGATTTTTGTCCGGTCCGCTGAATCAACCGTAGAGAGGAATTTTCATTTTTTGTTGGTTGTGTTAGTTGACATCCTGTTATACCTATAGTAATATAAGGAACCTTATTTAAATAGTATATCATTAAATTATTAGGTTGGTGCAAAAATAATGACGTAATAATGTCGTTCTTTAACGTTAACGTCAAAAAACGACATTATTACGTCATTATTTTTGCACCAACCTAATAGTTCTTTTTTAAAAAATATTTTTAATCACTTCGCCCCAAGCATGTGCTACTAGTACGCAAGGGGTTATAAAGAGTGAAAGTGATAGAAAAGACTGGGTATAGGGGGGGATTGAGGCAAGGAGAAAAGATGAATTAAATTTTTTGAAGATTGTAATTATCAGGAAAGCAAGTAAGCGGAAGGGAGTTCTACTGTCGGGAAGTGCGGGAAAAGAAACTGTTTGAGTAGAAGTGGCGGTTACATTTAACTATTTCAATAGTAAAAGTAAATTTTTGTAGTCCGGACACCTGGGTAAAAAGCACGTTAGATCAGTTACTCTGAAAATATTTGTAGAAAAGACAGAGGGAAGCCACATCACGTTTGTGAGAAATTGACTGAAGTCGAGATGTCAAGTTAGGATCGATTGTAAATCCTTCTTTCGGATTTTATCAAGAACCTTGAGATAAACATCAGGAGCACCAGACCAGATATGGCAACAGTATTCAATGCAAGGATGAATCGTAGATTTTTAAATGTTCATGATGGCGTGAAAAGAAAAACTTTTGGCACGACACAGTGAATCAACTTTCCTTGCAGTAGATGCAGCTATTAATTCGATGGTGGTGTTCCACTTCAAGTCAGTTGAAAACGTGAGGCCAAGAAAGCGCAGTGGGCCGTTCTCCTGGAGTCGAGTATCAGCCATGCTGATAGTGGACAGAAAAGTTTCTCTATTGTGGTTAAAGAGCAGTTTAGTTTTGGAGGCATTAAAATTTACAAGCCATATCCTGCCCCAGTTAACCACTGTTTGGAGGTTCTTTTCAAAAGCAGCGGCTAGGTTAATTTTGTTAGCTCTGACCGATTTGCTATTGAGACAGGAGTAAATGCTAGTGTCATCTGTATAAATACCTACTTGGAAACTGATAACATCAGGAAGATCATTGATGAAGATTAGAAACAGCGTAGGGGTCCGGATAGAGCAGCATTCGTGTGAAAGGATCTGGAAGCAAGCCCGTTCAGGACGATTTTCATTTCACGATTTGATAGGAATGATTGGATTAAATCAGACAAACGTCCTGTAATAGAGTGGTCCTGAAACTTACGTAGAAAGCCAGCATGTCAAACCCTGTCAAACGACTTTGCGATATGTAGAGCCACAGCTCGAGCTTCGCTGTTTTTATTAAGAGCTTGATATGCAAATGCAGTGATGACCGAAAGCACGACAACAGTAAACCCGGCAAAACGGAATCCATATTGTTTGTCAGAGGGTAGGCCATGAAAGATAAGATTTCAGCATTGATTAAAGCCTCGAATACTTTGCCGAAAAGCAGTAGCGTAATAGTTAGAGGGATCAGAAGGTTCTCCAGAGTTCTTAAAACAGGAATTACAGAGGAGGACTTCCATCCAGCAAGCTGGAAAGCATAAAGCTTAGTGGGAATAGTAATCTATCTATCTATCTATCTATCTATCTATCTATCTATCTATCTATCTATCTATCTTTACAAACTGTTCTATCCCAAACAGCAACTGCTTTATGAAATTTAAATTCAATTATGTCATCTTCTTTCTAAACCAATGTTAATTAATTTTGAATATTTTTTAATTAAAGATTTCTTTAAAAATTAACGTAAATATTTTTGTTATATATAATAAATTTGCATTAATTAAACAGGGCCTGCAGAGGAAAAATTCCAATAAGCTAGAAAGCAAGAAGCAATGAGGCAATAGTTGTAGAGTTTGTCGAGAACTGGAGCCAGCTCGGGAGCACATTTCTTTAGGACGTCGCCTGGGATCCTGACACATCTACTTGCCTTATGGAAGTCTAATATAGAAATGATCTTTAAACCTACAGAGTAAGACAGGCTTCTGGACGGAGCGGTCAGAGGTCAAGACAATCTATTATACTACATCTGATTATCATGGCCCTCCCCTGAGACACTGCATAACGACCTGGCCCACTCTTTCCAAAAGGTTACAGAATCTTACTGTAGATGGTTATAGTGTTTCAAATCCGGCCATCGGCAACCAGAGGAGTTTTAAAATAAGCCTTTTAACAAAAGGGATAAAGGATCGATTACATGGCAGATCCTTCTTTCGGATTTTATCAAGAACCTTGAGATGAACATCAGGAGCACCAGACCAGATATGGCAACAGTATTCAACGCAAGGATGAATTGTAGAGGACCTGTTTAATTAATGCGAATTTATATGTAACAAAAATATTTACGTTAATTTTTAAAGAAATCTTTAATTAAAAAATCGAAGAATTTTATCTTCAAAATTAATTAACATTGGTTTAGAAAAAAGATGACATAATTAAATTTAAATTTCATAAAACAGTTGCTGTTTGGGATAGAACAGTTTGTAAAGATAGATAGATAGATAGATAGATAGATAGATAGATAGATAGATTACTGTTATGGGAACTTACCCATAATAACATAATGGACTATTCCATACGTAATAAATACTGCGGGATATTTTTGGCCGAGCCTACGGGCTCGGAGAAACCCACGTTAAACTCGGCCTTGTGCCACATACATTCCTTGTGGGGGGGGCTGTTAAATATGAGAGTCGAATAGATTTTTCAACTGTCAAACTCTCTGCCTCAGCAGAGAGGAACTCGGACGAAGCTTGCCGAAGGGCAAAGTTTCGTCCGGAGAGGTAGACAGGCCCTGAACCCGTCTAGGCGGGAATATTTTTGGCCGAGCCTACGCGCTCGGATTACCCATAATAAACCGGCCTTGTGCCACATAAACCCTCGTGGGTCGGGGGCTGTTAAATATTAGCAGTCAAATAGATTGAACCCTGGTCGTGTTATACTCTTCTGTTGTACTTGCTGTTTAATGTATGATATATCTGTAACACTTGTTTTGTTATTTCTTTAACAATTTACTTGGTCACCACAAGAATAATCAAAGGAAAGTTGGTAATGAACGATAATACTTAGGACAAGAACAACACATATAAGATTCGCCAGCGGCGCGTAGAAGTAGTAGTCAACTGCTAGAAGTGAGTCAAGTTAATTCCACAATGAATCTCCAACTGCAGGATATCTACCAACTGCCCAACGCGGTCAGATGTGACACAAGGCCGAATTTAATGTATAAAACCTGTTTCGGGTAGCTGTCTCCAGAGAATGTTTAGAGTATTTAACATTCATATGATAGTAGAGATTTACTTGACTCCCCACTGACTCAGGTTGTGACAAAAGGTCAGTATTTAATGTGGTCTAAGCTGATCTTAGCTCGTCATAGCTTGTCCAAGCTGGTCATAGCTGGTCTAAGCCAGTCATAGCTGGTCCCGGCTGTTCATAGCTTGTCCAAGCCCGTCAGAGCTCGTCTAAGCTAATCATAGCTAATGATTCCCCCTGACCTGTGCCAGGCAAGTATTCATTTATATGATAGTTAAGGTTAGAGATGATTTGAACAGTTTATGGGGGATCTTCCCATAAAAAAATGTACATGACCAGAGCTTGGCAGCTGAACTGAGATCTAAGCGCTCAGTGGTGGAAGAACTAGTTCAAATCCAAGCTATTAACTTTTCATCATCACTTAGCCGACACTGGATTCTCGCCAATCACGATGAAGGGTTGGACTCCCAAAGATGCTCGTTGTTTTGAGCGTTCATTCGGATTTATGTTCACCCAAGAACTCATATATATGATACACCGCTAAAGACGCTGGGAAAATGGTGGACGCCTTGTAACACTCCCAGAAAATGCCTGACCGCATCTGCTATACTCTATCTTTAATATGACTCATTTCAGATCAAAAAATGGACTGTGGCTGCTTGAATTGCACAATCCTGTCTTTCCAGCATCAACAGAAATCAAAAACGTCTATGCAGCCTTGTGGGTGATTAATTATCTTCCAGCCTGCGGCATCTTTCCTACAGACGCAAGATCACAAGCCTGTGGCTACTCTATCGCTATTTCCATGGAAAATGTTTTGACGAGCCCTCTGTGCCACCATTTAAAACCTTATAGTTAAGACCGCCATACCATGTGCACAGAGGCGAACCATCCACATTCCCTTCTTATTCCATTGGTAAGAAGGAAGTTCTATTCGGACAAATTCTTCCGAAGAGTTGCTGCTTTGTGGAATATACTCCCGAGATGATGCTTCCACGACCACTAACCTCTTCAAACCCGTCGTTTAATCGTTTTCTATCATACAATTGTCCATAATTCATTAACATTCAATAATCTCTACTTTGAGTGTCTCTTATGCCTTGTATTGAGAACAATAGTATAAAATAAGAATCATAAAAAAACGAAAGCAGTAATAATAATAAACTGCAAACGAGAAGTCGGAAGAAGGTAAACGAAGATTTATTTTATAGTATAAGAAATGTGTTGCCTGCCTTCTCTCTGATCCTGAAAGAGAAACGCTATTTGATGTTATACAAGCTGTGTTTACTCACAAGTCCGGCATGTCATCTTACAAGAGGCTATGTCGACTCACTAATCCCGTCTCACCGGTGTCTGCCAGAAGATAGTCGTCTCTGTCAAGACGAGGCTTTAATCATTGGCCATTAAGGGTTTTATGACCGGCCAAGCTTAGTGTGTAATAAGTGTGGAAATGGTAAGAATGTTAAACCAGCCACATTTCTCCACAGTAAATACACATTATCTTATATTATTTCTTTTTACAATACAACGTTTATAGTAATAAGAAATTGTGTCTATAAAAATCCATTATTTCCTTGTAAATAAATAAATGAATAAATAAATAAAACTACTCCACAGATAGTATTTCATCTCTGGAGAAATCAAATCATTCGGAGTAAGCGTGGATGCAGACAGCACATTATTGTTGGTAATTTGCAAACTAAACTTGAAATTGCTTTGTACTTCAAACTTTAGTATTTTGATAGTATTGACCTAACAAAAAACATTATTTGTTTTTAATTTTTTTTCTGTTTTATAGTAAGAAACTTATAAATATAGCGAAATCGGATCATTAGGACACAGAATTATTTACAAAGGAATCAATATGGTAGACTATTGTATAACTAACACTTAATATACCTGGAGTTATCTCCCTTGAACAATCAGGAGAACATAATAATGATTATTGGAGTGTGAGCGACACAAGCACAACAGTATTGTTATTACTTTCAGGATACTGTTTTATTATTAAATTTAGAGAATTTAAACTCTATTGCGCTAAGGCTTAAGACCATATCGTATCGAAACACCGATTCTCGTACGATCATTGAAGTTAAGCAACGTCGAGCCTGCCCAGAACCTATGTGAATGACCTATGGGAATCTCAGGTGCTGTAATCTTGGATGTGCGGGTAATGTAATGGATAACGACTCGGAATTGAAAATCGAAGAGCCCAGTTTCAATTCCAGTCGGTTTCGTTATATTCACCTATGTGCAAATACCCTTGGGAAAGGCATGAATCCACCTCTTCTCCCTCACTTGCTATGGGTCGATTAAAAGAACTTGTATCAATAAATCATTATTATCTTCAATGAATTCTTGCATTCTAAAACTATTTTCTGGTTTTAAATAAGCTGCAAATGGCCGATACCCCGTAAAAAATCAAATAGACCAATCATGTATTACGATAATAAAAATTTCGCCATGATGTGCTGGGTGATCGTCTCAGCCAAAAAAAAAATTAGATATTTAAAATATAGATTTTATTATGTACCTTATTTGACGGCATGTACTAAAAATATCTTTCAAAATTCCCCTGGCAACTCTTATTAGCTTAGACTTAAACATGAATGAGCAATGGAACACGTGGATAATAATGCCTGATCACAACCTTACACTTACAGGAAGAATAAAAAGACTCAGCATTGCACAAGTCTGCAAATGGATGAAGTAAGCTTGGGATAATATTAGACCAGAAATTGTTGTAAAATCTTTTAAAAAGTGTGGCATTAGCAATGCTCTTAATGGAACGGAAGATAACGCATTATTTAACGACGATGATAGTATTGAAAATGAGTATCAGAGGTTTGATAACGAAGACGACGAAATTAATGGATTTGAAGATGAATAAAATTTTAATGGTAACTGTACTGTTTTGCTCAATTGTAATCATTGCTTGATTTTTATTTTGTTTTCTTTGGATATAATAAATATTTTATAGGCTTGTGTTCTTTTTTTCCTATTATTTTTCGTTTAATTGTAATCATGGCTTGTTTCACCAAAATAATATCTCATAAATATAGCCTAAGCCGTAACATTTACTAATAATTTCACTAATTTTAATAATTGCTAATTTTACTAATTTTTTCCTAATTTTCTTGTCTCACTGAACAATTACAATTGAGTAGTGAGTTTGATCCTCATTGGGTGCCCCATACTTTCGGCTTTGTGCCACATCTATACAATACTAGAAAATAGATATATTTTAAAATGGCTATGAGTTATTTTACTAGTGTATATAAAAGTTCCATAGACTTTAGTTGTTAAATACAAGTTTATTTTCATTAAATTAGTTTTACTTCAAAATAAGGCATATACATTTACAATTTCTATAATACAATTCCTAAACTTAACTAACTGTAAAAATTTAAATAAGTTTTTTTTTTACTCCAATGGTTAATGGGGGCCCAGCACACACAAAAAAAAATAAAAATAAAAAAGATTAAAAAAATAAGAGTAAAGGTGTTTCATGGTTAAAAAACTTTTGAAAACCACTGATCTATAGTAACATCTATAACAATTAAAATAAGAACATTTATTTAAATAAATAGTAAAATATAAACTGAATTGCCAAAGATTTTTCATGATTTGCCCTGCTGACATTGGGATGCGTCTTATACACCCGTGCGTCTTATATGACGTCAAATACGGAAATCTAATTTTTTATGATAAATTGATATTTAATTCAGAATTAATGGAAGATAAATATGTGTACAAAGCGTTAAATTTCTTTGCCATGATGACAGGGGTGCCGTGACACGGCTGAGCAATATAAATCTTATTGAAAACGGGTGTTATTTTTAACATACAATATAACACCATTCTTCGAAGTTAATAGAGCGTTTTGGTTCAGTCAATAGATTCTTGCATGTATGCACCTCATTCATCTTTTTTTTTTAAATGATCAGGACACATTAGTGGTGTTAACACGGCACTACTTGGTGGTGGACTTCCTTGAGGCAGGTCACCGGCCAGGTTGGAACTACAACGGCCACTTGTTCGCGACCAAGTTGGAGAACATCGGCAGTGGTCTACACTGGAGTAGGGATGGTTCTCTCCAGGTTAAAAGGCCCAAGTCACGACACATAGTGAGCACATCAAGAAACCATTCGCAAAGACACAGGTTCTGGCACACAACCGAAACATATGTGGGAGAATGTAGGTCAGCTCAGAGCGTCGGCACCCCAAAGATTTCTTTCAAGATTGAGGGCGAAAAAGAAGATAAACATTGGCTTATAAACTGAATTGTTCAGATGGGTAATTGTCAATAA